AGGAAAATTCATCACCCAAAAAACTGAGGACCCTGTTCTCCTAAAGACTTCATTAGGTGGCTCAATGGCAGTCTAAAGAAGAGGACTATGCCTGCTCAGATATTGTTTTGTTTTATTATTCCTTTTAGTCATAAACAAATTTCAGTTTAAATCATTTTAAAATACAGCTCTGCTGATGTCCCTATTTTTCTTAAAATTCCTTAATGCCTATTAGATAAGGTTCTTAGCACAAGGTAGTGGCTACCTCATCAGTCAACCCCAGCCTGTCTTTTCACTTTTATTTCTGATTGCTCCTACACCCCCTGCGTCGTCTCTGGCCTGCTCTTACCCCTCAGCATGCGTTGGTTCTTTCTTAGCTACAGCCACAGTGCCGTAGGGTTTGTACCTTTTGTACCTCATCAGTCAACCCCAGCCTGTCTTTTCACTTTTATTTCTGATTGCTCCTACACCCCCGGCGTCGTCTCTGGCCTGCTCTTACCCCTCAGCATGCGTTGGTTCTTTCTTAGCTACAGCCACAGTGCCGTAGGGTTTGTACCTTTTACATTCCCACCAGCATTGTATGAGAGCATCTGTCTCCACAGCCTTGCCAACAGTGTATGTTCTTACGCTTTTGACTTTTTGTAAGTCTGATAGGTGAGAAGTGTTTCTCAGTGTAGTTTTGACTTGCATTTCTCTTGTTTTAAGTAATAAACGTTTTGAGTAAGTGAAGTTGTCATGGTTCTTGTCTTTGTTTATGCTGTTTGCTCTCCCTGAAATGCCTGCAACCCCTGACCTTCTCTCTTTCCCCTCCAACAAAGGTCTCATATTTCAAATCCCAGGTAAAACATCCCCTCTTCTTTGATGTTCTTAATCTTTCAGTGCAAAATTAATTGTTCCCTGTAATGCACTCCCATGGCATTTACCTATTGCTCCGTTATGCAATGAGAGAGGGACCTTGGTCATCTTCAGCTGTACATCCCAGTGACTAACAGAGTATCTGGAAAATGATCTATGCTTACTAAATGATTGTTGGATTAATTGAATTATGATTTAAAATCAAGTATGACATGAGAAAATTAGTGTTTTTGGCTTAAATTCTAATTAAAGCTCATGGGTATACTTGTAACCTCCTTGTTTTCATCAATGTTATTCCATGATTTCCTCCAATGAAACAATCTTTGCAATGAGGGAAATACAGTATTTCAGAACTTTTAGAGTTTGCCCCCTGTTTTTTTAGCTGTAATAAATAAAAATCTCTCTAATAAAAAGCACAGCAGCATTATATTGTTGTGTCAATTATAAATTACTCTTACTTTCAAAGCCCAAAATAAATCTGTGATATGGACAAATTCAGTGTCTAATAATTGAAAGCCTGTCCCGTAGCACTTACTGTTGTGTCAATTATAAATTACTCTTACTTTCAAAGCCCAAAATAAATCTGTGATATGGACATATTCAGTGTCTAATAATTGAAAGCCTGTCCCGTAGCACTTATCTTGTAACTCTAGTTAATGTATGTTTGCCCATGTCAGAGAAAACATTTCTATACCTCTACACAAAAGTTTGTATCAAAATGTTTTAATCTGAAAGCTTTTAAAAATGTCATTTTCAAGGGTGTTAACTAAATGTCACACATTGTTTAAGTGATAGGGCAACGGATGAAAAAATATTTACATTTTTTACTTGAGGAAATACGAGTTTTTATTGGAAATGATGAAGGTGGAGATTGCAGCAGTGATAATCTATCGCTAAATTGTTTTACTTGTTTTCTTATGTTATTTTAATGATACTGGATTTATCATTTTTAGGGATGGTTCTTCCGCCCTTTTAAAAAAGGGAAGAGGTAGTCAAGTATGGCGGGGGGGAGGAGGTGAGAATGACGTATAGGTGGTGATTGTCAGTACTGAGGGTCGGAATAGCAAGGGGCAGCAAACAGAGACCCTCGTTTCTTAGAAAAAGTATTGGGACTACATACAAAGACGGACACAGCCTCAGTGTTTTATAGAGGAAGGCATAAATAAATCAGGGTGTTTTTGCTCAGTGCATCAGGCAGCTGTTAAGAAAATTAAAAATGGAGGCCTTGTACAAAACAAAATGTGTAATAAAATGTTAAGTGATAAAAGATTGTATATTTGTATATACCCTATGTTCCTAATTATGTAGAAAAATGTGTACATCTGGAGGGAAATAGAGAAAAATGAGAATTGAGGTGGGAATGTGTATTATATTTTTATTGTAGTTTTTGTTGTAAATACTATTGTGCTGAAAAATAAGGAGAATGGCAAAGAACATGTTCAACTCAAGAGCAAAAGCAAAACAAAACACAAAAAGAAAGGAAGAAGATAGAGCCAACCTACGTTTTACACAGTTGTTTACTGCGTCATGGAATTTTAGAGCTGGGAATTCTCTTCCAACAGTTCTCAGAATTTTTGGTCTCAGGATCTCTTTACACTCTAAAAATTGAGGACCCCAAAGAGCTTTCGTTTATGTGATTATATGTCAGTTTTTCCCATATTGAAAATTAAAATTGAGAAATTAAACAGTATTAAGCATTTAAAAATAAAAGCAATAAACCCATTACATGTTAACCTAAATTTATGAAAAATAACTATAGTATATTCCACAACAAAAATTTAATGAGAAGAGTGCCAGTGTTTTCTAGTTTTGCAGATCTCTTTAATATTTTGCTCAACAGAAGACAGCTGGATTCTTTTATCCACTTATCCATTGTCTGTTTTGATATGTTGTTTTGGTTAAAGTATAGGAAAAAAATCTGGCCTCACACAGCTATGTAGTTGGAAAAGGGAGAAGTCTTTTAATAGCCTTTTCAGATAATTATGGCTGCATCACGTTGCCTCTGGAAAACCCTGCCGGACACTCCTGAGAGAATGAGATTGAAAAAAGGCAAATAATGTCTCAGTGGTATTATCAAAATTGTTTTGGCCTCTTGGACTCCCTGAAAACGTTTAAGGACCTGGGGGCAGGGGGCCCTGACCACACTTTGAGAACTGTTTTCTAGAGCCCCAGAGAGAGAGAAAACCGAAACCCAGAAATGTTAAGTGATTTCCCCCAAATCACATGATTGGTGGGAGACAGAGCACTGGGACACGGCTCTTCTGCTCTCATTCCTCATGTTTCTAAGACCTTCAAATTATAGTATGACCTTAGGACAACCTTCGGAAATTGATTCTGAGCATATTTGAGGGCTTCTGAGATATCAAAATAAATGTATTCTTTTTCAATCTTGGAGATTCTTTTTAGAAACTCCGTGGTAGTCAAATCAAAACTTTTTAGAGACAGTGGTATTAGGATTATAAATGGATTTGTAAAGATGGAATTTTTAGCAAATATTGGAAGATATAGAATATTAATTTAAACATTAAATCATAAAGGATATGATACATTTAATTTTTGTTTACCCCCTCGTACTAGCCAGAAAATGTCCTAGCTCTTCTTTCTCAATAATTTTACATAGACACTTTTTTTTTCCCCCTTTTTGTCTTTTTTCGTGTCCGGCAACGGATCGCAACCCTCAGTGTCGCGCCCGCACCGGACCGGACCGGCAACGGGATCACAACCCTCGGTGTTGCGTCCGCACCTCGCTCAGCCAGTGAGCGGGAACCGGTCTGTATGTGGGACCCGAACCCTCGGCGGGAGTGCCACCGCGCTCCCAAGCGGCGCACTAGCGCAGTGCGCCACTGGGCCGGCCCCTACATAGACACTTCTGATTTCGTTTTGGTTTGGTTGTTATTTGCAGTTTCATAATACGAGGCATTTTCCACGTCTGGTCCTCCATTCAAATGTTAGGTGGCTTTCTGGTTTTTAATGTTGTTCACTCATTCCTCCTGGATTCCACTGACTCTCAAACAGTAGTGGCTTGGATGCCTGAGACAGAAAACTCTGAATAACCTTTCTTTAGCCTCTTTGAGTAGGTATTGCTCACATTTCACCGTCTGTGCACAGCAGTGTGGAAAGGTCCTTTGAGTATCTCCATCCTCTTATCATCCTCGGTCAACCCTCTGCGTGCATCTCAACTCCTTTCCCTCCCCCAGTCAGCGCTGGCCTGTGGCTTACGCTCAGCCAGTGAGCGGGAACCAGTCTCCACATGGGATCCGAACCCTCAGCGGGAGCGCCGCCGCACTCTCAAGCGGCGCACTCTCCAGTGCGCCACCGGGCCGGCCCAGGATTTGTAGGTTCTAATCTCATCCTCATTATGACTATCTCTGTGACTTTGTCAAATGACTTAACTACCCTGAGCTTCCATTTTCTCTTCTGTTACATGTTGTCTAGGAGTGTTTACCCCTCACTTTATTATTTATTTATTCCACAATTACTTATTAAGTGCCTGTTGTGTGCCAGGCACTATTATGAAGGTTGGAAATATGGTAGACAGCCAGACAGCCGTAGCTCCTGCTCCCATTGGTGAGGGATGTCTGTATCCCCCATGGACAACAGAAAGTCCTGGCTCTGTGTCTGTTTTGGGTAGGACCATTGCAAAATCCTTAAATGCTTTGTTTATTTTTTCATCTGTAAAACGAAGGATGGTAATATCTTTTATTATTATTGTTATTATTAGCATATTCATCATTACAAATCATAATCTTTCCTCATGCCCACCACCTGACCTATCACTCCCCACCCCCTCTCCCTCCCTCCCTCCCTCCATCTCTAGTATCTTTAGCTTTGGTCTCTCCTTCTGAAAGTTCACTGTATTATTGTGGTCCGTCCTTCCCTTGCCTCCGCTCCCCTCCCCTCTACTTCTTTGAAGATAGTAATATCTAACCTGTTTATTTTATACAGTTGTTTTAAGGCTCAAATAAAATAAAGTATGTGGGAGTGCATTTGAATGTGGTCGTAGTGTGTAGTGTATACTAGTGTCCATAGTAAAGTATTGTTTTATTTGCTGTAAAATTTCACATGTTCACTAAAGCTTGGATGGGGAAATCCTAAATCAACTTAATCTTGGAGTTCAGAGATATTCAAAAAACATAAAGCGTGTTTGTTTTTTCTTCTCTTCACAGAAAAAGGTAATGCTAAATATGTTTTTAGACACGATGATGGCCGATCCTCCTCCCCAGTGCCTTGTCTGGCTACCTCTCATGCACAGGCTTGCCCATGTTGAGAATGGTAAGCAGAACTTTGATTGTTCAATTCTTTATACTGTAGGAAGTGTAGGAACTGATTATTTGCAATGTTCTTAGCTATTGCGATCATAGAAAATTATGACTGACATTTGCTGGCAGTCTACCATTTGAATTTGTGATTTTGACTTTCAAAAGTGGAAATTTTACTTCTTTTAAAAGGGGTGGGGAGAAATAAACAGAAAAAAGAGAGAAAAAAATAAAAATTAAAAAGGGAGACTTATTACTTAGATAGGATATCAAGAAGCAGAATCAGGCCATAAAACTGTGATTCAAACTGTAGGCTTTTCCTTCCTAAGACTCCAGATGGCTGTTTCTGCTTGTGCCTACCTGATTTAGCCATGACTTCCTTTTTTCCCCTTAATTAATCAGCATCGTAGCTCTAAAAAATTGTATGTATGCGATATCAACTGCTAAAACTGTAATTATTTTGTAATAATTTTTTAAAAATAGGAAAGGTGTAATTTCATATTGGCTTTCACACATCCTCCATTTTTTCCTTTGCTATTTTACCTTGAATCTACTCTTGGTATCCTCCCCAGTAATTTGCTTAAGTCTTTGTTTTGCTTTGAATTGAAATGGCACTTACCTCTCAGTAACTTCTTAATGTTTCCTGTCGTTGCCATCATTTTATTGCTTCGTGTGGGTTTTTCAAATTCATGAAAGGGAAGGCTGTAGTTTTTCTAAGCAGCCTCCCTTCTCTCAAGGCTCTTGGCTGTCTTTCTTCATTCCACAAAAGAGAACAAGGAATAGCTGAGAAGCTGCTAAAAAGCTGTCTCCTCTTTTTTCCCCTTGTAACAATGAAATATACTTCCATATTATTTTTTTCTCCCCCTCATATCCATACTTTTTTTCTTTTTTTAATTTCTCAGTCTTTTACCTAACTATGGCTTTAGTTCACAAGTACCTTGAATTCAGGATTTTGTTTTTTTAAGTGACCAGAATCTTTTATTAAACTAAAACAACTAAAATTTTTTAACAGGATCTTTGAATAGAGATCTAAACTTTTGAGAGCAATGTTTTTATAGCCTTAAGTGTTTTAGTAGTTGCATATCATAAAATCATTTTGTATTTGCTGTATCAAGTAGAAAGAACCTCATTTGTCAATATACATTGTTATCCATAGGAACATTTTATTGTGATTTTATATGTAGTATGTTATTTTGTTACAAAGCTAAAGTAATCATAACAGTATGGTACTGGAATAAAAAACAGACATACAGACCAATATAACAGAATAGAGAGCCCAGAAATAAAACCAATCAACTTTGACAAGGATACCGAGAATAACAATAGGGAGAGGATAGTCTCATCAATAAACGATATTGGGAAAACTGGATATCCACGTGCAAAAGGATGAAACTGGACCCTTATCTTACACCACAAGGAAAAATCAATTCAAAACTGATTAAGAACTTAAACCTACCACCTCAAACCATAAAAATCCTGGAAGAAAACATAGGAAAAATGCTTCTTGACATTGTTCTCAGCAATGATTATTTGGATATGATACCAAAGGCACAAGCAACAGAAACTAAAATAAACAAGTGAGCTTTTGTATCAAACTAAAAGGCTCCTGCACAACAGAATGAAAAGGCAACCAATGAAATGGGAGAAATATTTGCAAAGCATATAGCTGATAAAAGTTTAATATTTGAAATACATAAGGAACTCCTACACCTAAATAGCAAAAAAGAAAGAAAACACACACACACACACACACACACACACACAAACCCACACAAATAACCTGGTTGAATGATGATTTTAAACATTTCTTTCTTTCTCTAATATTCAAATTTATATTACTCCAGCCTAATCATAAGAGAAACATCAGACAAATCCAAATATTGGGACATTCTACAAAATACCTGACCTGTAATTTGGTAATTATCACAACTCTCAAGGTCATCGAGAAGAAGGAAAGTCTAAGAAACTATCACAACCAAGAGGAGCCTAAATAGACATGACAACTCAATGTAATGTGGTATTCTGTATTCTGAATGGGATTCTGGAAAAGAAAGAGGAGATTAGGAAAAAAACTACAGAAATCTGAATAGAGTATGGACTTAAGTTAACAATAATATAATTATACAATAATATACAACAACAATATAATTTATTAATTGTGACAAATGTGTCATATTAATGTATAATGTTAATAATAAGGAAAACCATGTGTAGAATATACAGGATTTCTGTACTATTTATACAATGTCTCTATAAATCTAAATCTAT